GCATTCCTCCTGCAGCCAAACTGTTAGGATGACAGTTGTGTCAAGCTGTTATTTCTTCATGTATTATCAAGTATTTAAAATCTACTTACAGATTAGCACAGAACATAAAAACAATTTTCTAGAAGGAATGGCTGATTTTTTGTGAGTCCTAATACAAATTTTAGCCACAGAGAAAAACAAAAACCACCCTTGAAAATGCTGGAATCTGGTCCACAAAACCAGTATTGAATCTGTGGTTCTTTTATTTAGTTGAAGAGGGTGGAGCGGTAAAAGGCAGGAAAGCAATTTTTTTTTCCAAATACTTGAAAAAAAAAAAATTGTTTGTTTGTTACTTCCCTCAATAGTTGCAGTTTCAAACAAGCCAACAAAAAAAGGCCACTAGTGCTGACACACCCCTCTTCCACCTTCAAAAGATGAAAGGAAAAGCCTTTATTTCCCTTTCTGCACTTGGCTTCTCTTTGCCTGTGCTACTCCGGAGCTCCCTGGGGTTTGGTTCACTGTGACGGTAAGGCCTGCTCCCCTCTTCATCCTTTCAAAACTGTAGCATTCGATTTTTTCTTCATCGGAGACTGTCCTGGTGCTTATGAGGCGAAATCCATCTTTGAGTAAAGTGTCAAGCAGCAGGCCTAGCACATTAGTACCGTTAATCAGCTTTCTATTGTCAGGCTTTATGGAAACATACCTAAAATAAGAAAAAAGCAGTTATAACACACTTTAATTACTTCCTGAAGGATGGAATCAATTTTTTTTTAAAACAAACCAGGTCCTCAGACGGTGCAGGTCAGCACAGTTGCACGGGTTTAAAGTAACCAAGGTTCCGGATATATTTTTCTTTCCCTCATTATAAGAACAGTAATTCTCAGTTCATCCAGCTACACGTTGGGGAAGAAGCACTTCTCTTTCACCCCCACTCCAAAACTTACTTTCTTATGCAATACATGTGATAACCTCCATCTCATTTAATTTAATGGAGGAGAGGTGAATGGCATGCTCTATACAATGCTGCAACCGTTTTTCAGGTAAGAGTAAATGATTCCCTCATTATAAGAACAGTAATTCTCAGTTCATCCAGCTACACGTTGGGGAAGAAGCACTTCTCTTTCACCCCCACTCCAAAACTTACTTTCTTATGCAATACATGTGATAACCTCCATCTCATTTAATTTAATGGAGGAGAGGTGAATGGCATGCTCTATACAATGCTGCAACCGTTTTTCAGGTAAGAGTAAATGATGGAAAGGACAGTGAAGTCACATTCACCCCAACAGCATCACTTTTCATTACACGGGATCTCTCTCTACAAACAGTGACATTTATTGCAAAGTTACCTTGTACAGCAGGTCTTGTGGTAACAAGTATGAAAATCATTTTCACATTGCCTCAAATGATTTTACTTGATATAAAGTACAGTTTAAGAATCTATCCAGACTTTGCGAGGAACAGAAGTCAGGTAAAAATACTATTACAAAATACATAAGCTGACAGGGGTGAAACTGTTCCACAGTTCACAGGAAAGTACACCAAACATTCATGGAAAGCACAAAAAAGGCAGAAGAGTCCATGTCACTACAAAGACTAAGTCGACAAAAATTCAGCAGGCAACTTAATCAAACTTGACTTGTTTCATTACTCAAGATAAGCTTTTCTATTGATCTGCAGAAGAAAATTTTTACCAAGTCTGAAGAAATAAAGGAAAGAATCAGGAATATTTTCCCCACTATTTAAGTTGCCATAACCTACTCAACAAATTGTTAGTCTATTAAAATCAGTAATACATTATAAAGTTGAGGTTTGGCACATAAATATGCTGCTTCGCAAATGCAAAGTAGTTTTTCTTCTACTTGCTTGGCTAAAGAAAGCTAGAAGAAAGATAAACTTTATTCTTTTTTTTTTAAATCATCAAAAGACTGCTGCGTTGATTCATATATTCAGAGAGAATAACCCTTTTGGAAGTATTTCAATGAAATTTCCATAAAATTCCAGATGTTCTAACAGCCACAGAGGACAAATTAAGTTACATTTTCTTATACAGTAAGAACACGTCTCCATACAATAGAGATATCCAGCAAAAGCTTTTTTAAAAAAAATGTAAGTTGTAATTAGAATACGATACTCCTATCACAAAAATCACTGATATACAGTAATCTTAATAAAAACAGAACCTGGCTCTGAATTCAAAGAAAACCCACTGTGTAGCATATAGTTAATAACCTACCCCTTGTCCCTCCCCCCAATAAAAGGCTCTACAAAAACTTTCCAGTCCCTGAATTGTAATCTTAGTTCTACTGGTGTTTTCAACCCTGTTTAGGCATTCTTTTTTTCCTCTTTTCTATATGAAAGTCTTTTGGACCATGAGCTACTGGAGATTTTAGGCTTCTCCAGTAGTTCACTCCTTATTTATTTTGTTTCCTTTGCTTCATTTTACTCTGTGTTTTTCAAGTCTTCTAGAACATCATTGATGCCATGAAATTCTAAAGCCTGGGAGAGCAAGTGAGGAGGAAAGAGCAGAGCGAGAGAAAGACCCAACAGAACTCAAAAACAAGCATCAAGAACAGTATTTTAGAAAGTTGAAGAACAGGCAAATCAGTGTAACAGAAATTAAACTGGGTATTTCAGAACTAGAAAAAGATAACATTAAACTAGCAGAAAGAAGGAAACATATTTATTTTCTCTCAGACAGCTGTCCGATAGTTTCTTTAAAATGGGCTTTGCTAGCACGTAGCATGTACTTCATGAACTAGAAGTCCCGAAGACATTTCCATAATGAGAAATCACACTAGGGAGAGTACCTGGCCACAAACTGGTCACCAGCAGAGTAGTCAGTACCACACTGAAAAGTCATGTCGTGATGAGAAGGTCTTTCCAAAGGAAGTGGAACGAGTGGTTTCTGAGAAGGAAAAGGGGTGTTCCAGCTCTGTCTTGACTGCTGCCCTGTAAACACAGTGATCTGTTCAGCTAGTGTCTCAACAGTGGTACTGCAGGAACCAAAGATCCGGAAAAAGGACGGCATCTCTTGGAAGGAAAAGTGCACTTCCAAGATCTCCAGCCTCGGCTTTAGCAAGTGTTCCTGGCTCAGGAGGTCAGCCAGAGGGTAGAGCCCATAGAATTCTGCTTCTCTCTGCAGCCTCTGATAGTCTGAGAAATCAGTAGGTAAGGAGACCTGAAGAGTCCTCAAGAAGTCCAAGATGTAACTAAACAAAGTTCCATCTCTGTCCACAAAAAACTCTCCATTCACCAGTTTAAATTCCCGGTCATCATCCTTCAACATCCGTGCTAGCCTGGACTCAGGGAACTGCTGCAAGGTAGAAGCCCGGGTTACAAATCTCACACCTCCCACGCTCAGAACGACCAGCTCTTGGTTACTCATCACTATCTCAGCCACTCAAGAATTGTAACTCTCTGATCTACGTGTTTGTGACTTGATCTTTCCTAAACGGCAAGGCATCTGCAGCTGCAAGAACCATTCAGTGCTTTCAGCAAGTGTTTGGAGTGAGGTGTGGAGCAGCAACAGGATTCCCAGGCAACAAAGATGTAAATATCATGTACAATAGTTTTGTTTGCAGGGTTTGGTTGCTTGGAAACTTTGATTCTTGGAATTTAATGTTTTATTTTTGAAATTAACAGCTTGCAAGGACTACTGGAAGACAGTGAATTGACCGTGACAACTTATTAAACCTTGAGAGAGGCCAATGAATATCCCCAAAGTATGGCACACATTATATTTGTTTCCCGGAAATGTCAACTAAATGTTTTCATTCTATATAATGCTGTTCATAGGACCACTGCAAAAAGAGGTTAGATGTGCTTCAAGCAATATATTTCAGTGTCATGTGCTCTTAAAGAAGGGCACTTCAGAGAACTCAAGCTTACAGTTCACTTTAAATCATGGCCAAGTCAATACACTCAGAAAATTCAACTAATTCCTGAAACAAGGTACACAAAAATACAATGCTAAAGCACTTCCAAACACCAACAACATCCATGCTCCTGACACGTTACGCACTCCGTTCCAAGGAATCATCCCATCATTTTTCTTGGCTTTTGGAATTACAATCTGGAGAGATAGAGAAGGACAGGAGAGAAACTGCTCTACCTGCCACCTTTGCAGGGCTAGAGCGCAAGCTGCCTTCCTGTGGCTGACCCATACGTGCCTTCCACCGCACTGAACTGGTTAGGTTAAGGCCACATTTTAAGAAAGTGTGGCTTCAGAGAAACACGGATCTAACAAGACAGCTCAGTTACCCCAACAATTTGATGTTGGAAAAGTAAACTGCAAAGTATGTACTATCTGCAAAGTACATACTGTCTTGCAGCTTGTTCTTCTCTTATCAACCTCAGCTGATTTCTCTTTACCCCTAGAATTTATGCTTGCCCTGAAGGTATATTTTTGTATAGAACATGTAAACAATAACCAGTATCTACAGTAATCTGAATGCACAGGATAATTACAACATTTAGTTATATAAAAAAATACATATATCTATTTCAGCGAGAAGTAACTCCTCAGGTAGAAAGTGGTTCCAGAACGTGAATGACGGACTCTGTATTTTGCAGTGGAAGGGCAGTCCTCAACAACCTCTCGGTACAGCGCTCTTCTCAACAACTGTTCTTCCTCTTTCCAAACCACCTCCCAGTTAGAAAAAAACTTTTTTTAACTATGACCTTTTAGGAAGTGACACTTTTTATCTTAGTCTACAATTACATTAGCGTTAAACTAAGTACACAGTTTGGCCCTGTATGTTGGTAAGAAAAATGATTTACAGTGAATAATATTCCCATAATCACCACTGAAAGAAGAATCCAGAAACAATGTGTTTTTCAAAGCTCCATTTCATCTTCCAGTTTATCACTGCTCAAACTATCTGAACAGTATGAATGTTTTGGAAACATTTTGAATCTTTGAATGTTTTCACTGGAAGTCTTAAAAAACCAATTAATTTTAAGAAGTTCTATGTTTTCTTCACCAGATCTCTCTTAGTTCTTATATTTCAGCAGGGACTTCACAACAGTTTATATTTGCACACAAACTGTGCAACATTATCCAGTACAACCAACGTATAGTTTTTACACTTTTCTCTTAGAAGTGAAGCTCCATCTGTCATCTGTTCCCAGTAAAAGACTGCATGATCTGCTATCTCCACTGTATCTGCCAAATAGGACAAGCTAATTGTAAAGAATTGAGATTTCCAGCACTGGAGATTGTCAACAACTGACTCCACAAAGGACATTCTGGTGACAGCCAGAGTAAGCAAGCAAATAAGAGAGGTCACTATAAATCTGCGCGAAAAGACTGAGGGAATCTTGAATTTAAGAGTGTTGTTTTCCTGAGGCAAGGAAAGTTTGTCCACATCAACTAGTTTTATTCCATTCCACTGGCTGGTATCAAAGCTCTTCATTGTTGGGCTGATGTCCACACTGGAACAAGGTAAAGGGGTTTCTTTGAGCACCTTGATTTTTTCCCTGAACTCCTGCATCTGTTGCAGAAATATAATGGGTTCAGACACATCTTTGAAGGCCTCCGCGATGTTAAAAGCCATCCGTTGCTCTTGCAGAATTGTGTTCAGTTTATTGATTTCCGGATCATAGGCCTGCATCACTGCAAGCTTCATGGTCTCAAAGTCAGAGAGAATCTCATTTCGTTTCTGCTCCAGCGTGTGCTGCAGCTTCTCAAAGAACTCCTTCACTTTGTCAGAATCTTTGGTCAGCATCTGCAGAGCTTTCCTCTTACTGGTTTCTAAGGTATCCAGCCGCGAGAGGGCATCTCCACAACGCCAAGTTTCAAAGCCCTGAAACAGGGTTTCAAAAGCCCGCTTCTCCTGGGAATAAGCTTCTTCAATAGAACAGAACACGTGCTTTGTGTGGTCACCACGGGTGGCACAAACCCCACAGATGAGCTGCATGTCTGTCCGGCAAAAAATGTTAAGGGGTTGCCCGCTGTGCACTTTGCACACAGGCATTTTTGGAGTTACTTTGATTTTGTTATACTTCTCCACGATACCTTTCAGGGAATAGTTGACTTGCAAGCTGTTGACTCCAGTAACGGGAGTTTCCTTCCTGCACGTGGGGCATTTGAAAGGGGACGGCCTCCAAAGCACATTCCGCACATTTCCCTCAAGAATTCCTTCCAGACACTTTCTGCAGAAATTGTGTGAACAGGGCAGGACACGAGGATCATCAAACAGGCTACAGCAAATGGGACAGGTGAGATCTTCCTCTAGGAGCTCCATCATATCCTAGGAAAGAGAAGAAAGATGCTAACAGATGTTATAAAATGCAGTTCTCCTCCAGGGAAACAATGCAAAAACCGATCTCCAGCCGAGACACGGCTCAGTGAGAAAAGGATCTACGTTTTTCTTGCATATCCTTAAGACAGATCCTCTGCTGGGTTCTTGCAACCAGTCCAGTTAGCTGTGGTATCTGGCCACCAGATGGCAGGCACAAGAACAGCTCAGTGTCCAGGCAGAACCATTTTTGGATTCTCAGATAGAAATGCAGGAAAAAAAGGCTTGCCAAACCCAGCAAGGACTTTGAATGAAAATAACTCATGTACTCGTAATAACAGTTCAAGACTTACATCTTTCTCCACTGATGCAATACCCAGAAACTGGATTTTCACAAAAGATATCCAGCTGATAAGCCCTGCTAAGATACAATTACTCTCTGCTTGCCAACTCATCCAAAGCTTACAGTTTCAAACCCCATGCACCGCTACTGTAAGAAGGCAATATTAAAGGTGACTGAAAAAGCCCAGCTTCAGAATTTCTTCAGCTGCAGAATATGTGATGTGGCTCTTTGCTCTACCTGCAAAGACAAAGGGGAGTCACCACTCACTTTAAAAGTTAGCTTTTCTCTTGCTCCTGCAATATTTGTAAATAACCAAGTGAATGTTGAGCTACTCAGAACAAAATTAAAATACTTCGAAGAACAACTGCCCATAATCCTTGATAATTCATCATGAAACAAAACTGTTAACCATTTTCACTCATCTGTAATCTCTATTTCCAATTCCATTCTCACAGCATTCATGCCTCAGCAATTTCTTTTTGTGGACAGGACCTACAGGAAGAGGATTTATCATGTACTCCTTCGTACTGGAAAGTCTCAGTGAAGGGACCCAGCGCACTACCCTCCCCATGCCTCTAACCAAAGCCAAGTTCTCAGATGCAGGCACCTTATAATTTACAGCATGCTCTAAGAAAACAAATAGCTAATAAAGACCAAAAGAGGTGATGGTTTGTATTAGCCAAAACTCTCAAACACTTAGTTTTAAGCTATAATTAGAAATATGCTTCCCTTGTATAAATTCCTTCCATATTATACAATATGTATTCATACATATATGTAATAAAATTCCTTTTATAAATTAAAAGATGTATCACAAAAAAAAGCATCAAAGTAGTCCTGTGACATTAAGGCATATGAATGAGCTCTTCTAATTAGTGTTCATGTTATTACTAAGGTTCCTGTCCCCTCAAAGAGCTATAAAGTGGCAAACTTGGGAGCCAAGAGGAGAGCTGCAAGGGAAGATCCATGCCGCACAGGACAAGAAGAGCAATCAAATCAACACTAAAGCAAAGATAACTACAGGGAAGGAAGGCAAGGTCAATTCTGAGTTTCTTTCACAACAGGACAGATACAGTCCCAGAAAGACTTCACAGTAAAAGAGCCATGTTGAGAGGTCCAAGCAAACCTTCCACACTTCGCCAGTGACGAGGAGGAGGGGTATTCCCTGTGCTTGTTTGGATAAGAAGAGTTCGAAACAGTTGCCAGCTTTCCTACTCATCCCCAGGACCAATGAGACCATTTACCACCTAAGGTTTCCTATAAGACCACAAATCCCATTCAGAAACTTCATTTTCTGTGACAAGAAAGTCATTTTGAAGTGCCTCTTAATGCTAGAACAACCAAGGTTTCTCTTCCATCCTCTTCCTACTGCTAAAAAGCACGGGATGACAGGAAGAGGATGATTTTGCGCCATATTCTTAAGTCTTCCTCCTTATGAATAGTTCCCTCTTTCCAACTTGTAGTCACAGCTTTTAGCCACGATAGCAGCACAAAGATCAGTTTTGCTCATGTATTAAGAGGATAATAACTACAAAAGTAAAATGACAGTTCTCCATCTTTTAGTAAATGGAAATTCACAGTGCAGAAAATATTTGCTCTCGTCCATCTCCTTTACCAGGGAGGATTTTACTTCTTAGTTAGGGAGCTGGAAAAGCAGCTTTGCATGCCTGACAGTGAGGACTGCAAACCACTGCAGAAAATGCTTACTATAACACGTTCCATCAAAATTGCAGGACAAACATTGAAGACTTTCATGCTCCTAAAAATACAAAAAAACATATACAAAAAGGTTTCATGATCCAAATAAAACTGTCCCGGTGCATTCCAACCTCACTTATCCAATTAAATAATTATGCTTTACAAATATAACTGAATTTCAAAACCATTATATGACATCATTAAAACCCTAGGATTTTAAAAAAGGAAATGGGCAAGTCTATGAGGTTTTTTTTCCCCCTCTTACAACACCAGTAACACCAAACGAAAAATACTGAAAACTTGTATGACTGGTTGGGACAGCCGACCTTGTGTCTTCTTTAGGACATTAATTTCAGAGAGTAAGTTGCCTGTGGATTGAAACAACCCTTTGTATTAGCAACTTGGTATTTGTGTGTGAGGAACTACCGCAACATTTCTTCATTGGGAATTTCTCTGTGTAACTTCTGATCCAGGTTTGGATGGCCCTGGAATTCCCCACTCGTAGCACACGGACCAAAAGGCACAGCGGTTTCTTCCCTCACCTGAGCTACATAAACTTTCTGGGTACAAACCCAGCCGATGTCACCCATCAGAAAAAGCAACTTGCACACGTTTTATCATTAGGAGGAAGCATGGCAAAACGAATCAAACGATAAATGCAAAAACAACCACAGTAGCTTTTTCCCACGCTCCAGAGAGAAATTAATCTAGCATGCTTCTCAGCACAGAAGTTGGGTTTATCAGCCAGCAGCAGGCTGAAAGCAAAACCAAAATTTCACCAAGCTTCAAACAAAACAAAAAGATAGCTCTTGTATTACAAGTTTCCTGCAATGGTGTATAAGTATTCTAAATAAAACTTGACTAAGTCAGGCTGCATTTCCACAAGCAGTTGAGCTAGTCAGGACAGGTCTCATCTCCCTTCCTTTTCAAGGTCCCCAGTCCTTGTCAGGACCTCCTACGAGCAATTTCACCAGCCTTCTGTCAGACTGGTGCGTTGAATCAGCCCGAAAAAAGGGTCCCGCGGAGATAAGGCAGGAGGAAGGGAGATGGGAGCTCCTCCTTCCAGCAGCAACGATCTTTACTCTGCTCATCCCATCGAGAGGAACCGCAACCTACTGGAGGGTCAGTGTAGACATTTTAACATGGAACGACTGACCTCCAGGTGCAGTACCTTTAAACCTGTTATTTCATGACCAAAGGTTTTTCCAGAAGTACCAGGTAGATCCAACACGTTCAGCCTTCAGAAAGTTAGAAAGGCCTGGAGACATAAGCAGTTCTGGTTCAGTGCAGTTACGGTCCCAGTAACACTGTTTCATCGACGCGGTTTGACAATCCGCCGAGCGCAGGGCGCAGGGGCAGCGCCAACGCACACTCCTGCGCTCACCTCCTTGTCCCTCTGTCCAGGCAGGAGCTCCCTCACTGCTGCTGGTTACAACCCCTCTCCTGCCAGGGAA